AGAGAGAAGTTAATAACATGTGATTCTCTGGTATATAAATTCAAGAAAATAAATAAATAAATTACTTAATAAATAAATAAATACATAAATAAATAATAAAAAAACGTCAAGTACCTGTCGTGACCAAACAGAGAGCGTAAATCGAAAGTTTAATCCTATTCAGCACATGAAATAATCGGTCTACTAGTCATTTTTTTTTTTTTTAAACTCAAATTGTCGATTTGTAAGAAATATTTTTTGTCAAAAATAGAAATATAATTTCTGTAAACAGTCAGAGTCACAAAAAGGTAGACCTTTATAAACTTTCTTTTGATAATTATATAGAAACATAAAATAGTAGGCAAGTGTGCAAAAATAAATTGAAAAAAATATCAGCATCTATATAAGGCCTATCTTTATTATCAATAATGGAATTAATCAATAACAAGTTATTCATTTTTCAGAAACACTAGTAGAAGCACATGTAACATACATGTAGTTATATTTTTATGCCTCTACTCTAAATAAATGTATGCACAATCAATTATTTAAAAGGATTTTTTCCAAATGATTCATAAAGGCATATACAATGCAATGCATGATCTTGGTAACATTTACACATTTTGTCTGTACCTGCAAGTATGTAGTTCCTATCTATTTTTTTTCCCTATTTATTTGTTTCTCTGATGTGTCTAACTAAAAAATAAATTACAATTTATATTGCATGAGCATGCTCTAGTCATCATAATTATGATAATTATATATTATAATGTAGATGTTTAACCATTTTTAGCTCACCTGAGCTGAAAGCTCAAGTGAGCTTTTCTGATCACATTTTGTCCGTCGTCCGTCTGTCTGTCTGTCCGTCCGTCTGTAAACTTTTCACATTTTTGACTTCTTCTCCAGAACCACTGGGCCAATTTCAACCAAACTTGCCATGAAGCATCCTTGGGTAAAGGGGATTCAAGTTTGTTCAAATGAGAGGCCACGCCCTCTTTCAAGAGGAGATAATTAGGAATTAGTGGAAAAATAATGGCATCATTTAAAAATCTTCTCAAGAACCACTGGGCCAGGAAAGATGAAATATATATGGAAACATCCTCAGGTAGTGTAGATTCAAGTTTGTTCAAATTATGACCCCCGGGGGTAGGGTGGGGCCACAATAGGGGATCAAAGTTTTACATAGAAATATATAGGAAAATATCTTTAAAAATCTTCTTCTCAAGAATAGCAAAGCCATGATTGGTCATATTTATTTGGAAGCATCCTCAGGTAGTGTAGATTCAAGTTTGTTCAAATCATGACCCCCGGGGGTAGGGTGGGGCCACAATAGGGGATCAAAGTTTTACATAGGAATATATAGGAAAATATCTTTAAAAATCTTCCTCTTAAGAACAGCAAAGCCATGATTGGTCATATTTATTTGGAAGCATCCTCAGGTAGTGTAGATTCAAGTTTGTTCAAATCATGACCCCCGGGGGTAGGGTGGGGCCACAATGAGGGATCAAAGTTTTACATAGACATATATATGAAAATATCTTTAAAAATCTTCTTCTTAAGAACAGCAAAGCCATGATTGGTCATATTTATATGGAAGCATCCTCAGGTAGTGTAGATTCAAGTTTGTTCAAATCATGACCCCCGGGGGTAGGGTGGGGCCACAATGGGGGATACACAGTCTCCCTGTCAGGTCAAGACCCAACCCCCTACACCTACATGACACCTCGGCCCGTGTGTATTCAACGTCAACATACCTGAACTGCTCTCTCACCTGGTATTTACCTTGAACCCTACTGAGTATCAATATAATGCATAAACTCATTTTCTGGATAATGTGATAATTCATAATTTGTATGAACAACACTTAAAGATTTTATACACTGTACTAAGACAAGAGAAAATGTGCACTTCGGTTACTAATTTAAAAAAACTGAATGAATGAATCAAATAAATATAGGCTAGGTTTGTCCCAACACTCCATTGATTTATTTCATTTGTATACTTTTATTTACTTCTTATTGGTTTACAGTCTTAAACATGATTGATCTGATCAAATTTAAAATAAAATATTAATCGAAGAATATGGTAAATAACTCTAATAGAAAAATACGAATTTTGCCTCGCATGTTTTTTTTCTCGCTATTAAAGGCTCCTCAAAAGATATATGTAAAAAATTATATGAAATCGCCCATTTTTGCTTCGATACACAAGACGTGTAAATGCCTTGAATTTAATGTTATTAGTGTTTATCGATTACATTTAATACCTGACTACATTCAAGAAGTCAATATATATATTCATTTTTTTTTCTTTTTGAATCGGATCTTGACATTGACCTTTCTATACATAAATCCATCGTTTGTAATGTATTTGTTACCACGATTTGGTTCGTTATGAACAATTTCCATGGCATCTAAAACATCACCGACCAGTGTAATATGTGGATCATTCAAATTTTATCACAGTGTGGTACTATCGAGTAGAACTTTATAGGGAGATACATGATGATCCGGGTAAATATCGGCAACAGTTTGATGTAAAGTACTTACCGTGACAATTTAAAAATCGCGGAAAGGAACTATCGAAAAAAGGGAAAAAAACCCATACAACTTCTAGTAAAATTCAATCGCGGAAAAGCAGTATGGGGTAGTCGCGGAAAAGCAGACAGGTTGCAAAAATAAATTCGTGGAAAAACAGGTGGGCGAGGCTTGTGTAGAAAGAATTTTCATTTCTTTGGGGGGGGGGGGGGGTCTAAAAAGAAATGTTTTGACAAGCAAACAAAAGAGGCCAAAAACATTATTGTTGATGGGCGATATTATATAAGCATTATATTTTTACTCTATACTACACATGTTGGCACACTGTAACATTTTTAGGTACACGACTGCGTTCTCCCTTCTGGGTCCTATACAGGCCTAAGACATTGGAAATACCAGAGAATAAATACAAAGGAATGGAAATGCGATATTCTTTTCGGATACTAGATGATCTAATGATGTTTATTTATTTTGTTAAATTTGATTTCTTTCGGCCGTTATCCTTCTTCATATATACATATATAATGTATGTACTTGGAATATGTAAATGATTAATTTTCTATGTTTACCGGATATATATTTGTGACATATACATGTGTATTTATATAGGAGAGATTATATAATCGCAGTCCAGTGCACAGCCTGTGTCAACGCAACTAGCATATTTCAGCAAGTAACATGTTTAAAACGTAAAAAAAAAAAATAAAATATAAATTAAAGCAAATTCATAAAAACTTTGAGGAAACAGTGTTAACTTTAAAATGTTTTTTTTATTATATTTTTTCCCCTAAACTGACTAGTCAATTATTTTCGTAAGATTTGAACTATTTTAATAAAAATACCGATTATTAAAATCAATGCGATTTTGGATACATAACAGACTTCTAGCAGAAGATATTGAATCCAATTATTTCATTAATACAAAGAGTTCTTCCAGATCAATATTTGATAATAAATTTATGAGGTTTTATTTGTTAAAATACTGAATACTAGTATATTTATAGCGTTTCATGAATTATTGCACCTAGTTGTAAAACTTAAAAGCCACCACCATTAAAATCTCAGTTATTAAACGACTAAAATCCAAGTTTAACAATTCGAGGGAATTTCGACATTTGAATAATTATACAAACAATCGCAAAGCTTCCACCACAGAGTGCAATTTTTCTAAAATAATTACAGTTTGAATTTGGTGACGATCCATTATTGACAAAAAAAAGTTTCTTGTACAAAGCAGAGTTACCTCAAATGTTTAATCATAATACATTTAATATATTTAAGCATTCAGATTTGCGGCTTTGTAAGTAATTAAAATCATCATTCATCAGTCTATCTAAAAAGGAAACAATTCATCTTGTCAAAATACGTTTCGCATTTTGAAAAATCCTATCAGGTTTTGCGTTTATCCTATCGTGAAAATCGTTTATCAGGTCTATCGTGTTTTGCGTTTATTGTATTTTGCGTTTATTGTGTTTTGCATTTATCGTGTTTTGCATTTATCCTATCGTGCGTGTATCCGGTCCTATCGTGCGTGTATCCTATCGTATCGTGCGTTTATCCTATCGTATCGTGCGTGTATCCTATCGTATCGTGTATCCCATAAAGAATAACAATGCGGGTACTGTATACCTTTTTCTGTAGAAATCACGGAAATTTTGAATTTACGTCATTTTCCTGATGTCATATCAAACATATGGCATCATGGTTCATGAAAATATTCAGTGCTATGAGGTCTGCAGATATTCCCCTGTTCTAGAACATAATTATATATTTCTCAGTCAAAGTTTGATTTTGGGGGCAAATATTGGTCATTACCGAATATAGTCCTTTTATATTTGTAAGTAAAATCTATCCTTCTTGAAATATACAACAGCTACAACAGGAAGGGTTGAATAAACCTTTAAACCAAATATTGCACCTAACCAATATAATTAATTAATAGAGGATAATTATTCAATGTTTTGTGGTTGAATGTTTAATTTATATTACAAGTGGGACAGTATTCTTTTAATACTGCAGATCACTTTATATTTGCTACAACTTATTGAAATAGTTATTGACTCTTTATTAGTGAGTCAAAATTTTCAGGAATTGTATTTTATTATCAGTCAGGTGTGAGACTGAAATTCATCATTTTTAGAAATGATGAATTCTAGTCATAAAATTGATTTTTTTATATTGAAAAAAATTCATCATTTTTTTAGAATAAAGATGAAAAACAGTCACAACTATTTGGAGTTTATATTATTAAAATAGAGTTACTTCTGAAAATAAATATGACTGTATTTCATCATTTTTTATTAAATTTGTAGGTCTGGGTACACTTAATTATCTTGTTAGTTTTACGGGTCGCACTACTTTATTTTGGTTTCAGTGGTTTGTCAGGATGTTTTTCAAGCTGTGAATTTATAACAAATTGCATTTATGCATTGATGACATCCATTTATATGAAATTAAGACTTATTCTTATTTTTATTCACTTAGATGAGGAGACTGGAAAAACAGAAGAAAAAGAAACGCTTTTACAGAAAGGTAAGAATCTACCCTATAGAGATGAAGACTGTTCTACAAATGCTTTTTTATGTTGAAAAAGATTTAAATGTACAAAGATAACATTCAGAGCCATGCTGCTGTTTTCAGAGGCTCATCAAATTTAGTAGTATCTGTGCATCTTCGATATTTTTTCCCACAGTTTTACTGTTTGCTCTAGAACTTTTTGGCCAATCTCAACAAAATTTGGCTAAAAGCATTTGTACGTTAAGTAAGCTTTGTTTATTCAAATACAGTTGAACTTCTGTATCTTGAACATGGATATCTCGAATACCATGGATATATCTAAGTCATTTTGAGTCTGCACTGCTTATTCCTTAAGTTTTTTACCCTGGATATCTCGAAGTATTTTCTTGGTCCCTTCAGCGACCAGAGATCGTGATTCTCACTGCCATTTTTAGCTCACCTGAGCTGAAGGCTCGAGTGAGCTTTTCTGATCATATTTTGTCTGTAGTCCATCTAGCTGTCTGTCTGTCTGTCCGTCTGTAAACTTTTCACATTTTCAACTTCTTCTCCAGAACCATTGGGCCAATTTCAACCAAACTTGCCACAAAGTATCCCTGGGTAAAGGGGATTCAAGTTTGTTCAAAGAAGGGCCACGCCTTCTTCCAAGGGGAGATAATCATGAATTGGTGAAAAATTAATGGCATCATTAAAAAATCTTCTCAAGAACCACTGTGCTTGAAAATATGAACCTTAATGTGGAAGCATCCTCAGGTAGTGTAGATTCAGGTTTGTTCAAATCATGACCCCTGGGGGTTGGGTGGGGCCAAAATGGGCGATCAAAGTTTTACATAGGAATATATAGGAAAAATCTTTAAAAATCTTCTTCTCAAGAACAGCAAAGCCATGATTGGTCATATTTATATGGAAGCATCCTCAGGTAGTGTAAATTCAAGTTTGTTCAAATCATGACCCCCGGGGTAGGGTGGGGCCACAATGGGCGATCAAAGTTTTACATAGGAATACATTGTAAAAATGTTTTAAAATCTATTTCTTAAGAACAGCAAAGCCATGATTGGTCATATTTACAGGGGTCGAATTTAATGGGAAATACTTGCTAAATGCAAATTAAAAACAGAAATTGCGAGTTAAAAGCGACCTGTGGTTAAAAAAAGTTTTAAAAAACGTTTTTTTTTCAGATTTTTTTTTTAGTTTATTCCGGGATGTGCAATTAGCATTGCCTCACACCCAGGGCCAGGGCTACCATTTTTGGGGATCGGGCTAGTGATTTTATGCACAGAGGTAGCCCCTCGGGCTAGTACAAACTAAAATTAACCATGTAATACATGAAAAGCACTACAGGTATTTTTATTCACTTTTTTGCTATCAAATTCTCAAACAATAACAAATTTCCAGGTAGCATGCTCCTACAGTTTGTAAATCTCCATAACCTCATCCAGTTTGCAGTACTACCTGACTTATTTACTTCCAAAAACGATCGTTTTTCCCAATCCGAATTTCCTCCATTCCTTTGTTTATGGTAAATGCATGTAGATATCCTACTTAATTATTTACAATCACTTAATGAAATAGAGAAAAAGTCTTATGTGATTTTCAAAAAATATATTTCAAGGTTGATTTAATGATTTAAGATGAAAAAAAAATGAAAGATAATTTATTAATTTTTAAATTAATTTTTTTTTTTATTTTCAATTTAGTTTTCTGTGAAATCATTCAAATAATTCCTATGTTAATTACTATGAGAAAAAAATGCTAGTGAAAGTTCAATATTGCTAGTTAAAATAAAATCCACTAGATAAAATTTGCTAATGGTCAAAAAAGTTAATTTCAATCCCTGATTTATATGGAAGCATCCTCAGATAGTGTACATTCAAGTTTGTTCAAATCATGACCCCCAGAGGGTAGGGTGGGGCCAGAACAGGTGATCAAATTTTAGCATAGAAATACATAGGAAAATTCTTTAAAACTCTTCTTCTCAAGAACAGCAAAGTCGTGATTGGTCATATTTTAATGGAAGCATCCTCAGGTAGTGTACATTCAAGTTTGTTCAAATAATGACCCATGGGGGTAGGATGGGGCCACTATGGGGGATGAAAGTTTTTCATAAGAATATATAGAAAAAAAATCTTTTTCTTAAGAATAGAAAAGACAATTGATTAGTCATATTGATATAAAGGCATCCTCAGGTAGTGTAGAATCAAATTTGTTCAAATGAGGGCCCCGGGGGTAAGGTGGGGCCACAATGGGGGATCATATTTTTACAAATGAAGATATAGGAAAAAATCTGCTGCTCAAGAACAGCAAAGCCATTTGTTATATTGATATGGAAGCATCATCAGGTAGTGTAAAATTCAAGTCCCCCCCCCCAATACTAACTGATTTTTGCTTTTTTTTCTAGCCAATGTGCTAAGGTGGGAGATGTGGACCATGGGCCTCTTGTTAGTGATTTCAGGCAATTTTACCTTGATTTAACGACTATTTTATTTCCAAATCCTACTTTCGATTTCGGTCGAGCATGCTACATTTTTAGCTCTACTGGTCAGAGACCAGAAGAGCTTATGCGATAGTAAGGTGTCCGGCATCCGTCTGTCTGTCTGTCTGTCCGTCTGTCTGTCTGTCCGTCTGTCTGTAAACAATTTTTCAAAATGCTACTCCTCCTACAGTTTTGGTCTGATTTCAATATAACTTGGCACACAAGTAAACTACACTAAGATACATAATTTAGTGCATCGGTTTTTGATTTGGATGAGCGGTGTTGCCATGGTTACTAAAAATAGAAATTTCTGTGAAATTCATATAAAACCCTACTCCTCCTACAGTTTTAGTCTGATTTCAGTATAACTTGCCACACAAGTAGACTACACTAAGATACATAATTTAGTGCATCGGTTTTTGATTTCGATGAACGGTGTTGCCATGGTTACTAAAAATAGAAATTTCTGTGAAATTCCTTTAAAACGCTACTCCTCCTACAGTTTTGGTCTGATTTAATCTAATTTGGCACACAATTAGAATACACTACGATACATAATATGTATATCAGTTTTTGATTGCAGTGAATGGTGTTGTCATGGTTACTAAAAATATAAATTTCTGTGAAATACTTTCAAAACGCTACTCCTTCAACGATTTTCGTTTGATTTCAATATAACTTAGCACAGAAGTAGACTACATTAAGATACATAATTCTATTTATTGTTGTATGTTGCAAAGTTTCAAATCCAAGTGCTACTTTTCCTTTGTTATAAGTACAGACCAGTAGAGCTACAGTCTCATCAGAGACTTCTGGTTGGTTCAAATATCTATACAAATGTGTTTTTATCATTTAATAATTATTTATAGCAAGTTTTACAAATAAAACAAAATTGCAAGGTAAATACTTTTACTTGCATGGTTTTGATATTCATTGAATAAACATTGAAATCTAATCCATAAACATTCACATTGTTTGAGCGCCGGCCATTTTAAAATAGATGTTTTAGGTCGATCCCGATATCATTTCGTACTATAACAAGGGCCTAGTCAACAACTTGCCTGGTTTGCTTTTACAAGTAAATAAATCCAACATGTTTATTTAAGTGAAATGTGTCACTGTTTGGTTATGAAAACACACACTAGTTAGCACCCATACCAGGTGATAATTGAAGTGATTGAAGTACCTAGTGACAAACACGCAATTAAAGTAATTTATATATAGTCATGTAAAAAAAATAATTATGTTAAATAGATATAATTTTATTTTTTATCAAATGCATTAACAAAATCATGATACAGTTTTAAATTCTTAGTAATGTGCAGTACATATGAAGTTTTATAGACTATCATGTAAAACAAATCTATTATAAGAAGAAAATCTTTACAGCTTTTTAGCTCTTCTGAGCCAAAGGTTCAAAGAGCTAATACTATTGCCATTTGTGCGGTGTGTGGCGTGGGTAAACTTTTTAGAATATGCGCCATAACTCAAGAACCCCTTGGCCAATTATTGTCAAATTTGTCACAGGGTATCCTTGGCCCAAGGGCTCCCTTTTATACTAAAACTAGGGTTGTGACCCTTTAACAAGGGGAGATAATTAGGAAAATAGAAACAAAAGTACTGGTTGCTAAAAAATCTTCTTCTTAAGAACCACTGGGCAGATTATCATCAAACTTACACAAAAGGATGAGGATATGTTTGCGCGGGGATTTACCCTGGGGCAAAGGGTGTGGTCTCAAGGTCACCTCAAAGTTGACCAAAAATTACATTTTATTTAAATGTTGATATTTTGCTTACTATAAGGACTAGGATCATCAAATCTTGTCAGTTGATGATCTAAGGACCTCATATCATGTTGCCTCAAAAGTAGGTCACAGTGACCCACTTTTTAGCTCACCTTAGCCAAAAAAGGCTCAAGTGAGCTTTTCTGATCAAAATTTGTCCGTTGTCTATCGTCTTTGTCGTTGTTGTTGTTGTTGTAAACTTTTCACATTTTCATCTTCTTCTCAAGAACCACTGGGCCAATTTCAACCAAACTTGCCATAAAGTATCCTTAGGTGAAGGGGATTCAGGTTTGTTCAAATTAAGGGCCATGCCCTCTTTCAAGGGGAGATAATTTAGGAATTAGTGAAAAAGTAATGGTGTCTTTTAAAAATCTTCTTCTCAAGAACCACTTGGCCAGGAAAGATGAAACTCATAGTGAAGTATCCTCAGGTGGTGTAGATTCAAGTTTGTTCAAATCATGACCCCCAGGGGTAGAGTGGGGCCACAATAGGGGAACAAATTTTAACATAGAAATACATAGGAAGAATCTTTAAAAATCTTCTTCTCTATAACAGCGAGGCAATTATTGGTCATAGTTATTTGGAAGCATCCTCAGGTAGTGTAGATACAAGATTGTTCAAATCATGACCCCTGGGGCAAGGGTGGGGTCATAATATGTGAGTAAAGCTTTACATAGGAATACATCAGAAAACCTTTAAAAATCTTCTTCAGATCCCATAAGAAACAGAGCTGTGATAAGTTATATTAATATGCAAGCAGC